AAAAAGAAGGACGCAGAACGAAAGGCAAAGAAAAGAGGGAGAGAAAGAGACGATAGAAAGAAAGAAAGAAAGAAAGAAATTTAGAGAGACAAGGAGAACGAGGGAGAGATAGGGAGAAAGCAGAAGAGAAAATAAAACAGAAAAAAGAAATAAAAAGATAGATAAAGTGAGAGAGAAGAAAGAAACAAAGAAAAGAGTGAGAGAAAAAAGAATTAAATAGAAAAAGAAAAAAAAAAGGAAGGAAGATAGAAAAAGGAAAAATAAAAGAAAAAGAAAGAAAGAAGAAAGAAAGGGAAAATGAGAATAAGATGAAATTATGATAGCATTGAAAAAAAAAACAACTTTAAATTGGAATGTTAATTTGTTCAAAGAAAAACATTAGAAAGTTTTTAGGCTTTTTTCAATAAATTAAAATTTAGAAAACCATTATCAAATATCCCGTAGGGAGAAAGAGCAAGCTGGGAAGAGAGATAGATAGATAGATAGAGAGAGAGAGAGAGAGAGAGAGAGAGTGAGTGAGTGAGTTTGTATGCGTGTTAGAGAGCGATAGACGGAATGTGTGTGTGTGTGTGTGTGAGTGAGTGTTACAGGACTGAGAGGTAGGGGTGTGGGGAAAGATAAAGAAAAGAGGCCATTTAATAAGCCTGGGATAAAGTTTAAAATAAAACTATCAAGTGAAAGCAAATAGTTTTACAAATAAAATTTAAAAAACGAATTGAAATTCTCGGCAATATGTGACTAAATAAAATAATAAAGGAAAACAAAAAAAAAAGAAGTTTTTAAAACGTTCTGTAAAATCTATTAATTGCATTAAACCACTAAGAGTACAAAAGAAAAATCAATTGGCCTATCGATCGATCTCGGGAAATGTACCTCTATAAATAAGATTTTAGCGCAGAATTAAACTGTAAACTGATCTATTAACATACTTGTAGTTCATCATCGTCATCATCATCACCAACCATCATCATCATCAACCATCATCATTTATTCAGCGCAGTTTGCGCCGCTGTGGTCAACACTCCCCTCCATTTCCTATATATCTGGCTGTCTATTTCAATCTGTTCATGTCTATCAACAACAACAATAATAACTACAACAGCAACAACTATATTAATAATAATAACAATAAAATGTGGCCCAACAGAAAACACATCAGTATATATATATATATATATATATATATATATATATATATATATATATATGTCTATAGATCCGACAGTATGAAAAAAAATATGGAAAAACAAAAATCCGAATATGCAAGGATGCTGTTTTAATGTTGTTTCAATGTCGACGTCAGACGTTTCGGTCTCGTAGACCTTCTTCAGGACATAGTTATTAAAACATAATTAAAATTAGACGATATTCAAGTCAACGTGAAAAAGACGATAGACATAAGACTGACCTTAAAAATTTCAGTTATTCTGTTTTGATTAGTCGACATTGAAACAACATTAAAAACAGCATCCTTGCATATTCGGATTTTGTTTTTCCATATTTTCTTCATATATATATATATATATATATATATATATATATATATATATATATATATAATTATTTCTTTAAAAATTATAACATAAATATGTTATAAAAACACTTGATAAGACACCGGAGGTGTCGAAACAAAATGGCTATTTTTGTAGTGATTTTATAACATATTTATAGTTTGTAGGAACGTCATCAGGTTATTCTTGGAGGCTAAGAGGGTCGTATGTTCAGCAAACCGGATGACATCAATTTTTCTTCCCACCAAAATTGACTCCAAACTTCTTCCCTTCCAATACATCCCGCAAAATGTCCTCGGTATAAGTGATGAATAACATCGGTAATAGGATGAAGCCTTGCTTAAAACCTCTTGCTCTCGGAAACCAAATTGTTAAACCAAATGGTACATAGACATATATATATATATATATATATATATATATATAACCGAAAAGCAAAAACAGGAAAAAGAAATATAATATGGTTTAATCCACCATACAACAAAACCGTCAAAACAAACATTCCTAAACTTAATAGAAAAGCACTTCCCTGAAACAAACCGATTAGCAAAAATATTCAACAAAAATAACGTTAAAAACATTTACAGCTGCACAAAAAATATAACACAAATAATAAAAAGCCACAACAAAAAAATAACAGCCTACAATAATGCAAACAAGGAACCTCAATGCAACTGCAGAAATAGAACAACATGTTCACTCCAGGAAAATTGCCAACAAACGATATAATATATAAACCCAAGGTAAGTGTAAACAACAGCACAATGTTCTATATCGGTGCCACCGAGGGAGCATTCAAGAAGAGAAAAAAACAACCACAACCTTTCATTCTCCAACAGAAAATACTCAAACAGCACTACACTATCCACATACATATGGCATCTGAAAGACAACATATTACAACAAGAATAAGCTGGAAAATATTGAAAAAAGCACCTGCCTACAACAACATTAAAGAAATGCCTACTTTGCCTACACGAAAACGTAGCAATAATTTCTCATACCCAACAAAAGAATTTACTAAATATAAGATTAGAAATAATTTCCAAATGAAGGCATTAAAATAAATACCTATTATCAGAATTCATACCAAATAGATAAAAAAACAAACACTATCACATAAAGCACCATTGACCTTATAAATATGAGAAACCACTGACACCATAACGCCATCAATTATTTTCTAGTTCAAACTAACCTTATAATAATTGCAATTATTATTTTTATAATTCCACCATCATTATCAATCACTTCTACCACTTTACAATAACTATTTGCTACTACGACTATTATTATCATCACCCGCTTCCTTCCGCCATTACTACCACATCACAATTACTATTCTTGTATTAGTCCGCAATTAACTTTAACGTATCAGCCCAAAATTATAAATACTTTTCTCTCCCACAGCAAAGTTAATACCACCACATAAATAATAATAAGTACAGTGTAACCCGGATATAAGAGAGTTGTCGGGACCGGAGAAGAAGTCTCTTATATCCGGGTTTCTCTTATATCGGGGTTTGGTCTATTTTGTTTAGGTAAGTATGGGCTCTAATTTGGGACCAGAGAAAATCTCTCTTATATCCGGGTTTCTCTTATATCCGGGTTTCTTATATCCGGGTTACACTGTATTACAAATTTCTACCAAAAACAAGTAAATAGATGGCTTTAAGTTAATAACAAAACAGCCTTAAAAAATTAAAAATAATAGCAACTTTACCTATCATAGTTTTACACAGACCCCATCATGTGTGCGAAAAAATATTATTCAGCGAACAAAAATAGAAAAACAGTCTGCGCGTTTGCGCGTTGAAAGCGCAATAATCAAAAAAATATTCGCTACACAATCCAACATTGAATACATCAACCAAATGCGTACGTATGTAGAAAACGCCACATATATATGTATATATACGAATACTGTTCACATATGTTTATGTTTGTGTGAGCTCCGGTGGGTGAGCGTGCGTGCGTGTGTGTGTGTCTGCGTACTTCAATGTGTGTACGGGCGTGTATGTATGTTTGGGTAAGTATGAGTGGCGTCCCGATGACAATTTACCTACCACTTCCTTAAAAACACCGATATACGCAACTCGGTATAAATCCAAAATTAAAAAATTAATCAATTTCTCTGACGATCGCAAAAGCGTGAAACCCAGTGTCACAAACTCACATCAATCCAGCTATATATATATATATATATATATATATATATATATATATATATATATATATATATCCAGATAAGATGAGAACGAATAGATTATTTTTCTAGAAAAATAGTAGGTATTTTGGTTTTGGAATTAAATTAATCCTTCACTCGCCAGTAATTAACAATCACCTGAGGAGAAGCATTGATTTGCCTTGAAACACCATAGCAAATGTGTATCAATTTTTAACGTTTTTGATTTAATATTCAAAATAATATATCTATTTCTCTCTCTCTCTCTCTCTCTATATATATATATATATATATATATATATATATATATATATATATATATGTATGAATTTGGCAATGAATACGGGGCACTCTACTCACAGCTGAAGAAGAGAATTCAAGCAACCTTAAAGTGGTTCTACAGAAAGATGTTGAGAATACCAGGGACTGAACATGTGAGCAACGGCGAAATTTTAGTGAAAATAGAAACAAAAATGGCATTTATACTTAATATCAGAAGGAAAGATTTGAAATTTATAGGGCACATAATGAGGAAAGAGGGCTTGGAAAATTTGATACTCACAGGACATATAGAAGGTAAAGAGGAACGCAGCGAGTAAACTACCTAACGAATAAGCATAAATGAATGGCTGAATAGTAAGTGAGAGGGACAGTTAAAAGAAAATATTTGTAATAGCTACGAAGGATAGGAAGTTGTGGAGAGCCTAGATCACCTACGTCCTGAATGGTTACGGCACATAAAAGAATAAGAATGAACTTGTGTAACTGGATGGTAGAACAGGGTTTAGGAGAAATAACAAAAGCAACAACATTTACTAAAAACTGCAAAGGACGGGAAATTGTGGAGAGCCATCATTGCTATGGTACAGAGAAGAAGAATATTATCCCAATGTTTATAAGTAATACTGTGAGTGTGTAAACACTATTGTGGATGTTAATAAAATCCACGGTTTCAGAGGAGATAAATAAAAAAAAAAAACTTAAAAAAGGAAAAAAAAATGCTCGCAAATGTGATGTGCTTTTTTAAACAGAAGAGCATGGTCGAAATCTATTTTTGTTCTCTGGTCGAAGGGAAACATTGCGCATTACCAACGATCTATAGAACAACATCTAAGGCTGTTTTTTGATATATCAACAGAGCGAACTATATTATGGGCCATTTATTCGGATTAGCTTGAGAACATAACATCCACCGACGCGTATTTGTGTAATTATTTAAATTGCTTTTTATTCCTCATATGAAGAAAATAATACATGTTTGGATGACAACAGAAAATAGATATTCCTACAAAACATTTCAAAGCATGCATCGATCTCTCTCTCTCTCTCTCTGTATATATATATATATATATATATATATATATATATATATATATATATATATATATATATATATATATATATCTATTTATCTGCAATATATCCATATCTGTATCTATCTATCTATCTATCTATCTATCTATCTATCTATCTATCTATCTATCTATCTACAATATATCCATATCTATCTATCTATCTATCTATCTATCTATCTATCTGACTTAGGGTAATATCACTTTGAAAGACCGGGTCTCGTAAGATCACCGAACATAAGCGACGTCGAGCCTAGTCAGTACCTCTATGAAAGAACGCTTGGGAATGTGAATGTAAATGTGCTGTAAACTTGGATGTGCGACTGTACGTAATGGATAACGACTCATATGTTCTTGATATTCTCTTACGCATAAATACCCTTGGTAAAGATATAAATCAACCACTTCTCCCGACAGCTACTGGTTAATTATTAGGTCTTGTATAAGTAAATCATTATTATCTACAAATATTTTCTGGCTTTCAGTAAACTGCAAAAGTGTAATACACCGTAACTCCACCCAAAGCTATCTATCTATCTATCTATTTTAATCTATTCATATCTATATATCTACCTATCACAGTCTATACATATCTATCTCAATTGTTGATATCTATCAACGACACCAACAATAACAACAACAGTGAGAATAACAGCAACAATAATAATAATATCGATAATAATAACAACAGCAATAATGATCGTAACAACAATAAAGATAATAATGATTATAACAACAGCCTCAACTATAATAATAATAATAATAATAATAATGATAATACCCATCTCAATATTTAATATCTGCCGCTTACAGCGAATGAGTGAAACACTATTTTGATGAAATATTACACCTTTTCTATGAAATAATATCCGGAGCACTTTAGATCTCAATCCCAGTGAACAATTACGGCACATGCAGGACCCAACATTTCCATCTATACAACCTCCATTATAAAGCTTTGCAACAATTGAATATCTAGCATGGTGAATATCACATTGCTGTCTATCACGCTTTCTTATGTATCATTTTTTTTCAATCATAAAACGTTACACATTGAAAAGCATTTTTTGCAATTTCTACGTGCCTTTGAATTTTTATGAATGTAATTTTCGTCCGTATTTCTTTTGACGTCAGATCACTCACAACCGTGACTGCTACTTTTGCTTAGCAATCTGAATTTCGTTTTTCTAAAACTAATGGTTAACGCTTTAATTCGCTTTCTTTGATTATATTGTCTAATAATTATAATGTAATGTAATCTTTTCCTTTTTGCTTTTGGGTTTGTGTGCAATTCATCATCCCAACGTATTTTGTAAGCGTTACGTTCATTGGTAATTAAATGGTACATCCTCTAATTCTGAAGCAATATGGTTTCCATGTGCAACTTAGATAAATATACTTGCCGTGTTTCTCTTTCTGTTTTGGTGTACTCACTTAATTCGTTGTCTGTTTGAGTACAAGAACTTTATACCTGTTGTAGAGTAGTTTCACAGTGGAGGCTTGTATTTGTACTAAGTCGGTCCTAAAATAGGTTCGACGTATAAAACATTAGGAACTTGATATAATAGGTAATGACGCAGTAATCTAGTTGTGGTGGCTGATACTTTAATATCCGACTAACGGTCGTCCGACATCGACTGACTGACCAACTCCGTGAGCGACTCGCGACTCCTACTACTCCTACTTATTATAGGTGGTAGCGTCTATTAACAATAGAATAGGTGTGTTTCACGATAACAATACCCAATACAGATTGTGAATTATTTCTATATGTTTTTCCGTTAGAAGTTTTGGTCGTGCTTTGGTAGTCATTAAAACAATTTTTGCAAGCAACTTTATCGAAAGCAGTTCAATAGCGAAATTATCATCATCATAATTATCATCAGTTCTATGACCAGGTCATGGTAGCGTGTATTGGGTAAGTAGATCAGGCGGAACCTATCCATATTCAGGGAATACTATAGCCGATATACTCCAAATAAAAGGCTCGCTTGGTCACTGATACGTAGCTGTTGATTCGATCGGAGAACACTGCACTCTGGGAATTGATTTCAGCATATGAATCCCGCCGCCAAACAATGTCATCTCATCATTGCCCTGGTTTCTCACCCCCATATATATATATATATATATATATATATATATATATATATATATATATATATCAGGTGCGGCGTGTAACTTTTCGCCATTTAACTTTTTTGATAACGAACATGCACGTTGTTTTTGGATTTGGGATTTTCGACTTCACAGTGTAGGGTCAGTTGAGCACCGTCTGTGAAAAAAAAAAGAAAAGAAAAAAGAATCACCATGACGCAATTCAATCCACCAGAAATGGTCAACCAGAATTCTGTACGGATGGTATTCCAACCGGGAGCTACAATACAAAGATTTCAGAGTGTATGGGTGGCGATCTGTTGAAGGTGCAGAGGATTTTGAAAGAGTTGGATGAGTCCAATAGTGATTATGATGTTACTGTAGCACGGATAAACTCACTCTGATCATCCTGATAAGAAATGTACTCCCAGATTTGATGGCGAGAACTCAAACTCAACACGCAGACCTACGTCAAGTACCGTGAGGAGGTAGTGCTGCCCTAACTCAAGAGTGTGCCTGCAGGAAGACCCTATGTCTGGCAACAGGACTCTGCACCATGCCACACAAGCAAGAGAACCCTGTCATGGCTGTCAGACAATATCTGTCATCACATCACCACTTGCAGCTGGCCACCTATATTCCAGAATTCAACCGATTTTATTATCATGTGTGACGCGAATTTGGGGAAGAGACCAAGAAACTGCTCCTGACACCAAATATGAATTCAAGACAAGGATTATGGTTGCATTCCCTAACTTAAAGAAGGAGACCCTCAAGGGGCAATGGCTGAAGCCAATTCCGATTTTATTGAATAAGTTTATTCTTTACTATTTCAAGATATTTTTGTGAAAGTTTGGTTATATATATATATATATATATATATATATATATATATTAAAATGGAATATCAGTGTTATTTTCTATTTTGCGTAATTTAGACGAAAATATATCCATCGAACCGTATATATATATATATATATATATATATATATATATATATATATATATATATATATATATATATATATTCCCCATGATGCTTTAGGGTTATTCAAGGGTTATAGAAATCTCGACACTCCCTAATTTCATTTTCGTTCAAGTTGTTTGAAGATCGTGTGAGTGTGAACATCGGACTACGCCTAGAGGCATCCTTTCATCGGATTTAACGTTGTTAAGCGTTTTGTGCAGGGTTTAGGCAATCCAGCACTTTACTTATTAGTTATAAAAAAATAAATGAGTGTTGAAACATATTTTAAATGACATTAATTTGTTTATTGCTTCTAACACAGAATATGCAATGAAATCATAATGCGGATGACACGTTCAATAATTCTTTATCTTCCTTAAGTCATAACTGACAAGGCAAAAATGGGTTTTTTTATGTTCTTTAAACTCTTCACTTACGCGTTGATTTATAGAGCATTGGTCTGTTAAAAAAAAGACTCACATCCATCGTAGAAGACGGATACCGGTAAGCGATATCTTCTTGTACGCGCCGTGCCTCTTCAGGACATAAACTATCATGGCTCGCTATATCTTCCTACCAGTTGTAACAATTGTATCCATTGAAAGTCGTTCCCCTCATTTTAATCTCACTCGCACTTTCTTTTCTGACACTCATTAGATAAGTTACTCGTTGTTTACCTATCTTCCCTTTGTTTTCTATCTGAACTGTGAGTATTAAATTCTCCAAACCCGCATTACTCATTCTATGTCACATATAGTCTTCTAAATTGTTCCTATTTTACTTTTTTTTTGTTTGTCGTATGTTCAAGCCATGCTATTTTCTGCGTCATTGTGTATGTCTACAATTCTGTTGCCTCAAGTCACTTCTTTATGTGTAAGGAAAATGTCACTGTTCACTGTCATATCGGAGTCATTACAATTCAACAATTTTATTTGTTACTGTTTGTTAATTCGCAATTTTATTTGTTACTGTTTGTTAAAGCTCATATAAGCTCATAATTCTGGTTAATAATATTCCAAAGAAAACAATGGAACAAAAAATTAGTGAAGAAACTGTTTAATCTCATGGATTAATAATACAGTGTAACCCGGATGTAAGAGAGTTGTCGGGACCGGAGAAGATGTCTCTTATATCCGGGTTTCTCTTATATCCGGGTTTGGTCTAATTTATATACATTAACACAGGCTCTAATTTGGGACCAGAGAAAATCTCTCTTATATCCGGGTTTCTCTTATATCCGGGTTTGGTCTAATTTATATACATTAACACAGGCTCTAATTTGGGACCAGAGAAAATCTCTCTTATATCCGGGTTTCTCTTATATCCGGGTCTCTTATATCCGGGTTACACTGTAATAAAATAGCGAATACTGGAGTAGTGCGCTGATGCGAGCGACTCCTGGTCTTATGAGCTGACATTACTCTCATAGTTAATGGACGAGCCTATCTTCAACAATTTAGTGTAGCGAAGGTCAGTCGTCTTGCAGAGTAGGCGGAAGTGAACAACATCAAATCAAAGGTGGAAGTGTACAAATTTAAACATAGCCTTCCTGTTTCAAACATATTTCAAATATTCAATAATTCAAAAATAAATACATTGCATTTCATTTTTTTTTATCTTGTTTCTATCGAAATATTCTTTCTTTTAACATTATTTTGACTATTCAAATGCCCTTTTATATAACAGCGTGCCGTACCCTGGGGCGAAAGTAGAAGGTTATCTAAATTATCAAACGTTCTCCGCCATACTGTTTTCCCAATGTACTTCATAAAGATCACGAAAATCCAGGATAACAACACACCTGTACGCGAACCTTTAATTTATTCAGGTAAAAGAGGGTCTCTCACGAGATTCTTCAATTGATGCAAATTACAGCTCAACGAGTGATGTGAGCACTGAAGTCGTTTCTGTTTAGCAGTAGTATTCCAATAGCTAAGCAGCTTCATGCGCCCTAACACAAGTAATATAAAACTCCTATCCCGCTGTTAACCATCACGTAATACACATTCGTGAATATAAAATATATGTATACACACACACACACATTTATATATATATATTCTGCTTATACATTAATTTTATAGATACTAATATTTAAGTAAATGATCTATTTATAATAAACAGTATTAACAGCATTTACCGACCTGAATGTCCGAGAGATCTTAAGGAAATTGTTGTCCTGCGACATAAATCGAACGTGTATATTACACGGAAACGCCATATAATCTGACGTGCTATAACATTTAGCTACAGATGAAGTGTCTGGTTAGCAAGTTTTAATTACTGTTTTTAAACTATTAGGTTGGTGCAAAAATAATGACTTAATGATGTCGTTTTTTGACGTTAAAAAATACGACCAAAAACGACATCATTACGTCATTATTTTTGCACCAACCTAATACAAACTTTGCATGTTTTCTTTCGAACGTTCATATCTGCTGGAAGCGTATCTGAACGTAAAAAAACGACATAATATATTATGAAATGAACTAATATATATATTTTTTTTTCCAGGATCCTTTTCCAATTCATTCAAGATGATGTTCGCCCTCTAACCGGCCAACCTTATGTCCTGGAGTAAAAAGCTGCCTCAGAAGTTTAACATACAATTTTATTTTCAAATCTTTTTTCACTGCTTTTGGACTGCCATAGGTAAAATTCCTCTCTCACGTGCTTAACATCTTACGGATTGAGTTGGATCTTTTCTAACTGATCTCTTTAGCTCTAAGTTTAAATGATGATCCTTCTTCCTGTTGTGGCCTCCTGATCTAATTTTCCCTCTTTTTTTAAACTTATTCATCGTTCTCTTGATGGTTCTTGATGGGAGACAGAGTATGAATATTGGTACCATTACTGAAGGCCTGAATAATCCTATTTCTCTCACCACTGCTCAGTTGGAAAGACATAGTGGAGCGGACATAAAACGATTTTAACTTGTTCTCTTTCTAGTTGAATAGCTCAAAGGGTTTTTCAATGATTATTACGACAAATGGTGTCAAGTTGGCTAAACGTCCAATCTGAAAACCTGGAAAAAAGAAATAATTTAGTGCATTTTTATATATTAAATATTATGTGAAATGTACAATTAAGCTGTTACACTATTTGGAGAATTTTGTTGTTTCGTCCGGTACCCCCCCCCACAAACATACATATATATATATATGTCTAAGTATTTATATATGAATATGCATAGGTACCTGTGTATATCGATACATATGTGTGTGCCTATGTGTGCAATTGTTATGAAGTGGTTTCACAGTGGAGGCTTGTATTTGTACTAAGTCGGTCCTAAAATAGGTTCGACGTACAAAACGTTAGGAACTTGATATAATAGGTAATGACGCAGAGAAATCTAGTTATGGTCGCTGATACTTTAGTATCCGACTAACGGTCGTCCGGCATCGACTGACTGCTCGACCCACTGAGTGACTCCCTCTCTTACAACTCCTACTTATTATAGGTGGGAGAGTCTATTAACTATAGAATAGGCGTGTTCCACTATAACAGTAATTGCACATGTAAATGAATGTATGTATATGTGAGATTTACATAAGTGTATATGTGGTATATATATGGAAAAACAATTTTTTTGTAATATTACCTTCAAATATTACTCCATCTTAATTTGAAACCTAAACTTTAAGTAAAAAAATACCCATCTAAAAATAATTACAAATTACTTTCATGAATTAGACTCAAACTGATAAAGATGTTCCCTTCACAGTCATTTACAATATTAAAAGATTGCTATCAGTAAACTTTTACATTTTAAATATTTTAATGTGTTTTTCATTAATATGTTTTTAAATATAGTATTTAAATCATATTAAATCCTTAAATTATTTGTAAAAGAGTTAAGTATTTAAATTGCTAGGAAGCATCAAATTAATTTCTTCGTATTTTTTTTAAACATTTAAATTACTATCAAACGTTAAAATCTGTTTTTTTTTTTACCTAAATTGCTAAAACTATACCATCCCTCTTCTTTCTCCGTAAACCCTAAATACATCTTCTTTCTCTTTACTTCCCCCTTCTTTCTTTTTTCTTTTTCTTTCTTCTCTCCTTTCCTTTCAATATATTATTTTCGTTAAGTTAACCAATTAAAAAGGTCAATGTCTGGTTCCTCCTTCCTCAATACTAGGTATGATAGAAAGAAATATTAAAATAAACCCTCTATCAACTCGACCATGTTTCTCTCACCACTCCTCGCTACCCTCTCTGTTAAATTACGTAAACTTAATACTACCCGTCAAAAGTGTAAATTTTCATTTCATTTTTCGTTTCACTTTTTGGAAGTGATGTCTGATGATCTAGCGTCTTTTAAAAGGTCTCTGGTGAAATAAACTATTACAATGGAGCCTTAAAGTGGTCTGTTTTTCTTTAAATTATTAGCTCTCAGGATTTCATCATCCTTGGGACTACCCATATGTATTACTAAGTTTTTCGTAACTTATATATATATATATATATATATATATAGCTTTGAAGCGGGTAAAAGGCAGATCAACGTGTTTTAGTGGACACAGCAATTTTCAATCTGCTTGTCTGAATCATCTTCAAGAAACGAGAGCAAGATCTAAAAGGTCAGCCAATCTAACAGCGATCTCATCTCACAATCCTCACTCTTGCTCCATATGTGGCCTCCTTTGTAAATCACTAGCGGGTCTTAAATGCCACTTAAGATTATCGCACAAACTTTCATAACTGAATCAATAAGCAGTTATATCCTCATACCTTGAAACCTACGGAAGAGTCCATTATATATACATATATACATATATATATATATATATATATATATATATATATATATATGACAAAGTGGAAAATATTTTCTTGTGACGCGTTTCGACCTTTAAGACTTCATCGGACTAAATTCGTTATGTTGGTGCAACTACACATGCAAAGGAACGAGGGATGATGTGAATTTTAAATTTTTATTTTTATTTTCATCTAGCCGATTTCATTTGTTTGCATCACTTGCATCACTTTTTCTTATTAGATATCCCACAATGTGATAATAGACGTCCTGCTAGGAATATTGAAATGTTGTTAGGGCGAAAACGTAAACTTACTGTTAATGACCTTTCTATCAAGACACTGTCTCGGCATTTTCATCGTAGTAATGAATTAGTCTATTGTTTTCTATTTTGATCAGAGTATCATTTTTTTGTTAAAATTGGGGCAAGTCTCATTACGGAGGGCATCACATATATATATATATATATATATATATATATATATATAAAACAAAATACATGGTAATTGGTGAAACCCACCCAGCTATAGTCAAGATTGTTATAAATAGTGTTAAAAGCGAAGTAGCGCCTATCAAATATAAGAAAAAGGCACAATAAGAAATAAAACCATAGCTGCTCGAGATTCACCCTTGAATTGAAGGTTCTTCAGGCCAGGTAGAATATACCGGTAATAGCTCCACCCACCACCAAAGAAATGTGTCACTGAATTAGCTGCTCTTCTTTACACACTCAACAATAGCTAAGTAAATTGAACCTGGCCTGAAGATCCTTCAACTCGAGGGTGAAACTTGAGTAATTCTGGTATTATTTTCCTATTTTGTATTATTTTGTTTTAAAAAACACAAAGACATCTATCTATCTATCTATCTATCTATCTATCTATCTATCTATCTATCTATCTCTCTCTCTCTCTCTATATATATATATATTTAGTACATTTTGAAGTAATCATCCTGTTATACATGTTTCATTGAACATTTTGTAAATCTTTTCTTTCCAGTTTTGCTATTTCACTCACAGTTTTATTTTAGTCAGGACTAAAACTGCGTAGAAACTGTCGGAAGTAGTTATTGTCCCAAGCATATATATATGCGTGTCAACAGTGTGGACATAGGGATCAACTCTGCGTGCTCACTGTTACAAGATCAAAATCAAAAGGGAAACTGCCATAGTTGATTCCTATGTTAAAACTTTGGATATCTCCGATATTTTAGCAGTCTTCTGTAAATAAAGCAACGTTTAACTATCACATGAATCACTATTTCCCAGCAAGGCCAGCGTAATAGTTCTGACCACAAGCGGGGTCACTTTGTGTCCGCTTGTAATAATTACAGGCGGTTCTGAAAGTTTATGCTTTAATAACAGTAAGTCCCTAGTCTCTGCTTTCATCAATCAGTTTGATGGGATATAATCTTCTGCCAATAAAGTAGAATATTTTGCTCGTAAATTCTCTTCCAATTTCTACTCACAAGTCAGTCAACAGTAATAGTATTGATGACTTTTGTTATGGTCCGGTTCCTTGTAGCACGGTGATAGTCCAAGGTAGAACCAATAAAGAAGAACTCGAACACGGATATGGAATAACACAGATATATTACAAACAGGAATATATACAGAGAAGTAAAAAGTGTTAGTACGAACAATCAGGTTTAGTAGGGAGAACAATGTAGTCTCGACCAGTATCACTATTCCAGTGTATTGTAGTAATTGTCTGAACGCGACTCTGTTTCGGACTGCCTCTGACTCGACTGACGGACCTCACTCCAGACTTCAGACTGACCTCTCTGCATCCTCTTGAGGCGCAGTATTTATTACGTATGGAGTAGTCCTTTATGTTATTATGGGTAAGGTCCAATAATAACTTTCTACTTAGAACTGAGGCTGTACTCTCTGATATACATAACTCCGTCCATGGTATCAAATTTATCCCCCAAAAGCATATGAACTCGATGGTATACCTGCAATATTGTCTTTAAGAAATGTGTCACTTATTTAGCTGCTATTTTTTACACGCTCAACAATAGATGCCTTGATCGTTCTTATTTATCAGATTCTTGTAAATCCTGTTCTGTAGTTCACGTTTTTTAGAATTCGGCCAAACGTACAAGATTGCTCTAATCAGTTCCGAACTGATTAAGCATATCACTTCGCATAGCCTTCTTTCAGACAGACAAGATGGCTTTCGCTATTTTAGGTTAACCATCGATGTGTTGACAGTTATAGCTGAAAGTCTCTGTCAAGCCTTAGTTAAAAATGAAGCTCGGGCAGTTGCTTTAGATATACCGAAAGTGACTGACAAGTTTTGGCATGGTGTTCTTAACTAGTTGCGGTTGTTATGAGCGATTTGATTCGATATATCTTATAAAACCGTGTAACGGAGTTATCTTAAACAGTCAATCCTCTAAATCTTTCTTCATTAATGCTTGTGTGTCCCGCGATTCTATCATTTGACCGACTTTGTTCCTTATTTTTATTCAGAATTTTCCCGATGTCTCGTTATCTAAACTGTTAAAAAAGCGTATTTACTTATGTCAATGATAAGTCTCATATTTTCGATAAGTTCAGATTGGCAGCTCAAACATGACGTTCAAGCCACTGCTAATTGGATTAAGAAATGACTTGTTTGGATACCACTAAAAACGAAACGGCTAAATTTTAATTATTTTATAGAAACTTTTTGCTTTCTGTTATTTGCCGTACCTATGCTAAGTAGTCGACAAATAGCAGTGGTTTACCTACTACACATCGCTGGAGAATATTGTGCTCTTTTGATCTTATAAAGATTACCATTTCATTTCCAACCTCCGTTTTGGTTATTCCACATTCAGTAGTCTTATCTAGGTTACAACAATATATATATATATATATATATATATATATATATATATATATATATATAACCAAGTGTATGATTGGTGTATACGGAATAAATTCCAATCACCAACAATCTACATTCAACATCATCACTTGATAAGACACCAAAGGTGTGGAACAAAATGACTATTTTTTTAGTGATTTTATAACATATTTATGTTATATGTTTTAAATAAATAATTATATATATATATATATATATATATATATATATATATATATATATATTTATTGACATTTTTTTAATTTAACGTTCTTTTTTATAGTTACAAGAATTTAAGTAAATTCTGTTTTTTAATAAACAGTATTAAATAACATTTTACACTTTGAGAAATTTTCATAGAAAATATTCGTCCTTTGAAAATTTCTCGGACATTCAGGCCGGTAAATCCTTGATTAATAAACACCAACTTAAATCATTAACATTGGAACAAAAAAAATGTCCTTAATAAATAAATTGTCGGACTTTTCCATTTGTTATATATATATATATATATATATTACTAGGTATTCTGTTTGGAAAGTTTGTTCACACTGCCGTACAATGTAATATTTCTATAGCTTACATATTTAAAGTCTGCCATTCGTGCATTGTTTCAGTACTGCTTCCACATCCAAAGAAAAATTGTAATTGGTCTTGTTCTTCATTACTTGATTCACTTTTCGACCATCGTAACGTAGCTTTCAGGTGTCTTTTCTATAAAAACTTACTTGGTGATTGCTCTGAGGAAATTTCTTCTATGGTACATAGGCTCTATGAATGTAAGCGCAGTTCTAGATTGTCGGCAAGATTTCATCATTTTACAGTTGAAATGGATAGATGTATCAGTAAGTTCTATGTTAACTGTGTCTTTTATCACACTTCTCGCTTGTGGAATTCCCTTCCGGCTTCTTATTTCCCAGTCAGCTGTGATCTTTAAATGCAGTGTCAATTGTTATCGTCTGTCATCTAAATCCCTGTACTTTTATTTGTTACAGTTTTGGGATATATATATATATATATATATATATATATATATATATATGACGTCATATATTAAAAAATGGACAAAGTCCGACAATTTATTTATTAAAGACATTTTTATATTTAACGTTCTTTTTTATAGATACAAGTATTTAAGTATTCAGGCCGGTAAATGTTATTTAATACTGTTTATTATAAACAGAGCATTTACTTAAATACTTGTATCTATAAAAAAGAACGTTAAACATAAAAATGTCTTTAATAAATATATATATGACTAGTGAGCGAGTCAAAATGACTTATTTCCCTTTATAGTCTACCAATAGAAGATTAACCAATCAGAAGCCGCAGAACACTGTATCCGTCGTGTAGAAAGGCGGCCATCTTTGTTTACCCTACCGGAATGACGAGAGCCAACATGTCAGGCGAACATGACAGACGGAAGAACTACGCTCTGCTACTTTGCTGCGATATCCACTGCAAACCTGCACTACGCTTTCCTACTGTCTCCGAAATATTCACTGCCAACCTCTGGATTCTATACTCGAGGACGACCGTCATGAATTTGTAACAACTATCCCTAATAGTGTTTGTTTCTAATATTCTCTAACACTCAGTAACCCCTTGCGCTTTAGTGGCTTTATTGCCTTGCACTGGGTGAAATGATAAAAAAAGTCTATTTGTTAGCACGATTCGTTTAAATTAAATTATTTCAACCTCAGACAAAATGTTCACAAATCGACATACGGACACAACCATCGAACATAGATAAGAATGCCTTCTAAGAAGGCACGAACGCCTGCACGCACGCGCATGCGCACACAAATATACATATATCATTTCACCATTTGTCTCTGCATCGAATATCACTAACACGTTTGGTCTGGCGCTTTTAATGTATATCAAGACGTTCTAAACAAAATCCAACGAAGAATATGAAACTTCTGACCTCCGCAACGAAGCTTCGATTCCATGTAAGAGACATCGTCCACAATGAGTTCTTTACATGGAACCAGACTATCTATCAGCAAGTCTATAAAGAGACCCTATGGCGTTTGCTTCGTTCAGTGCGCGAAAAGAGACAAGAGTTGTGGCAGGACAAACCGTGGCTGCTTCATCATGACGATACACCTGCTCACAACGCCCTGATCTTCCAGCAATTCTGATAAGAACTTCACCCTACTGGAACAACATCCTTAGTTTCCAGATCTTGCTCCGTGTGAGTTTTCTCTTATCCCTAAGCTCTAGGGGATCATCAAGGGTGCTAGTTTAGAAGGCATAGAGACCATCAAGAAGGTCATAACGGCAGAGCTGGGGAGAATCCAGAAGGGATCCTTCCAGGTATGAATCCTCCTCTTCTCCTCCGCCAGCTATGGGTAAATAGCAGGACACTCCAGGTTCTATAGCCTTGAATGGCAACTGGTCTATGGCAGAAAGAAATGGGAAACTACTGCGGGAAAAAATCTGCCTCGTCAGTCATGTATCGAAAGATACATGATCGCCTTAGTGTGTATCACGCATGGCACATAACAGGACTGAGTCGATAGAAGCGTGACAGAGAAGGATGGTAAAGTGTATCAGACTCGAAATGGATTCCTTTGAAGGGAAACCGTCTAGTTTGTTGTTTTGAATTGAAATAAATTGTTTGTGACACCAGTCTCATTATCTTTCAGGCAGACATCGTATATATATATATATATATATATATATATATATATATATATATATATATATATATATATATTCATGAAATATTCATACACAAAACAAATACAAAGGTTAATGATTTAATTGGCGAGAAATCCATCGTCGCAAACAATTCAAATAATACACAAAAACCCCGAACCTCTTTATGAATGAAAAGATCCTTGTTTTTATAAATTTCTGTTACATAAGTTCTTATTATTTTTACAAGCTTTCGTCTGTTGCTACAGACATCCTCAGGTATGGAATAGATGTATTTCTCGCCAATTAAATCATTAACCTTTGTATTTGTTTTTTGTATGAATAATTCATGAATTTGTAAATTAATTGCACCTTTATTGAAATATATATATATATATATATATATATATATATATATATATATATATATATATATATATA